GCAGACTGCTAAACCACAAAACTTAGTCAGAGAGGGCATCAAGGCCACTGTGGCCTTATGGCAGATATCATTTTTAAGGGCACAAGGCCAAAGTGGGAGGGCACATGGCCCTCGTGGCCCTCGTGGCCCTCGTGGCCCTCGTGAAATTCCTGCCCTGGTAAGACTGTTATTTTCTAATACAATTACCTTACAGGCTACTCACAGGAACCAAAAGCTGTAGCTGTTTAATCTGCCACTTCCTTAAAGTCTGCCAAAAAATAACTCCAATCAAACCTTTATGTTTCGTTTAACTTTGGGATAGTCTGCACAAAACACAGGTGCATTCTTTCTGAAATTTTTCCAAAAATAAAAATATGCATTTAAATTGCCTCCAGGTGCTTAATCCCATCTCAGCCATTTCATGTTTTCTCCATGACGCTGTGGTTTGAACACATGAGAATGAAACTGCAGGTTTAACTTTAGAAGCACATTCATACCTGCTGTGTGATTATTCTGTAGGGTCTGGTTTTGTGAAGGTATGACATATAATAACATAATATTTAATAAGATAATGATGGCTTTCATCTATCGTTATATTTATGGGCTATTAAATTGAACAAATTCAGTTATAAATACACATTTTTGGAAGCTGGTCTTGGCATCACATAGTCCTGGAAAACAGCTCAACCTAATGTTCAGATAATCCTTTCATTTTTAGCTTGGACGTCAGAAGTTACTTTGCGGTCAAACATCTAGACTGATGCTCTTTCAACATGGACACATTCCCTGAATGGTTTAACCTGTTTAAGGGTACAGAGTCGAGAATGAAGTGTGCTAATACATAGGGATAAAAGACTTGGAGGAAGCATTAAACTACATTTAATTTGTTAGTTTTCTCAGCATATATTTTGGTTGTGTTGCTTGTACAGTTTTTGCAAGAGCGTCAATCTTTGTTGAAGTCTCTTGGGGATCTTTAACTTCCATTTGACGGCAGAACAACATTTGAACTGGTAAAATAATGAATAATTCTCTGTAAAGCTGAGCCAGACTGTCACATCAGAAAAGTCAGCCTGATGTCACACAGTAAACACTCGCTCTGTTTAACTCACTAATGGGACTCTGGAGGGGGCTTTAGTTCCTCACAATATTCAAGTCTGGCAAAGTAAGACACTTAACTATGAAATCCTTAAAAATGTAGCAGATGTGTGGAACAAAAAGATCATTATCTAACGACAGATAAACGTGACACGTTTCACTGTGATGCAAACAGGCATTAGATGTGACATTGGGACGAGATGTGTCATCCTATAAACCTTCTGGCCATATTAAAATCCAAACATTTAACTATTTCTGTTATTCAGCCTCCTGCTCTCTCTCACAGGCTCATGAAAATGTATCATTGCTATTTTATTCCCCCCGCTACAGGGGCACTGTCTGACCTTTAGTCCAGAAAATTGTGGTGAAGCCGTTCTGATTTCTATATGCATGCGGAAATACCCACCGACAAAGGGCAGATTCGTTATGTATTAACTATTATATTTAAAAAGACTGAACTATATTTTGAATAACAAATCCAATCCCCAGTTCCCAACCAGTAAAATGTTGATGAAAATTGCAACGTTATTAATATATCTTAAATAATGAAGTTGGGAATTATTAATGAAAGGAGACATGTCATGGCCATTTCCACTGGTCATAATTCCATTGTTGAGGTCTACTAGAATAGATTTATATTGTGCAATTTTCCAAACTCACATTGGTTTCTCAAACAGCATCTCTGTTCACTGAATTTCACTCTCTGCCTTTAACGGCTCGTTGTAGCTCCAATAGCTCCAGCCCCCACCCTCCCTGTGAGCACAGTGTGCTCTGATTGGTCGGGAAGTTGTGAATCGCGCTGAGCTCCGTGGAGGTGTGGTTCCCTTGTTTAGCGATACACAGCGAAACACAGCCAAACTCACCCTGAGCACACACAAAGTCACAGCCGAAGTAAAGACAATAAGTGTGGCTTGATATTGAGTAAGAAAAAGGTTGATAAACGCTGTGAGAATGGGTCTGCTGAGAGAATTTCGCCGTGATCCCAACTGTCAGCCTGCAGACAGGGAGGAGAAATCAGCAGAGCTGCCTGCACTGTGTGTGTGTGTGTGTGTGTGTGCGTGCGTGTGAGGAAGACGGTGGATTGGTTAATTTGGACCAATCAGCCTGGTCATAGCTCTGGGCGTGGCTACTGGGTGTTCAGACGTCACGATGCCCAGGAAGAACATGAGAAATCTCCAACGAGGTAGTTTTACTCGCTACAGGGTGTACTTTGAGGGTTTTTGACTCTGAAGACCGTTCACATGCATAAAAACCTTCATAACACACAAGGGGACGGGTAATAACCGGAAAAGCATGACATGTCTCCTTTAAGATATATTAATGTATGATTTAATGAGCCATCATCTTAAGGAAGTTTAAAAACATGTTTGGTAAGGCAAGCTTCAATGAGAACAAATCAAGATATATAGCTTTCACTGTAATATTTACAATGAAATGCCCAGGAGAAAGCTGCTGTTGCTTCTCTGATCTAACTAGCCGCTGCAGTAAAACATTTTTGGCTTTTAAACATCTTACAAAAACTTTGGGACAGTGTTCATGCCCAGTGGAGTAGTGCCATGCTGCTTAGTTTTACTGTGAGGCGACAAAGGGCTATCTGCTTTCCCCATCTGTTTTGTACACATCGGATGATACAGACTAGTGGCTGATAACCCCCCCACTGGGTGGCAACATTTGCATAAGCATTGTGAAAGAGTTCATTTTCAGAAGCGGCTTCTTGCTCATAATTACTGTTTAGTCGCCTACATTCTTCTTTCTAGATCACAAATGAATAGTGATAGCAGAAATTGCTGTTGCATTGATGACCTCTTGTGAATTGATTCTTATCAGTATTCACTGCTGCCCCTTCCCTACTGCTTTCAATGGAAACACATTTGGAAGGAATTCAGCCCGAGCACGCTGCTAGAAACATCAGAGTGTGACGCTGCAGCTATTCTGCAACAGTAAAACAAAGTATTGATTTCAAGATGTCCTTTCGTGTTGAAACTAAATTATAGTTAGCTCTTTTTAATTCTTCAAACAAACCCGTGGTGGAATGTATTTATTTCAGTCTCTACAGCACATATAGAATACACATCACATCTGCAGCATCTTGATGAAATATGGATGTGCATGGGAGGGTATCTTTCCCCAATAAATAGCAGCTAAAATAGCTCCCTGATGAATAATTTCACATAATTACACTCAACATCAGGGAACATGTAGAGTATTCTGTGAGTGTAGGTGTGTTGGTGACAGCACATCTCCACGCAGTTCAGTGCAGGCTGCTCATTTTAAAATTGAAAGAAGGACACGGCTCAGTAAACTGCTGAACAGTGCTTTGTTTATCATAACACAAAAGAATCAAGATGTGAATATAAATAGTATTTACGATCAATATTCTTTACTTTAAATCACATATAGTAAGTTGTAGCTTGTAGCTTAAAAGAGTCAAACTATCTTGTTTTGATTTGAATGATTCTAGATCAGATTTGACATTTCAAATGCACAATGCAGTGTTATTTAAAACTATTGAACAAAATCCAACCAAACCAGACTGTGATTTACGTTTTTTTTTGCTCAACGCTTTGTAACACCAAACCCTTTTCTAGCTTTAAGGAAAGAAAAACCCTGGTACACATGTCCTGAAATAAACCACATGACCTGAATTAAATTAGGTTCTGAAAACTAGCGCTGAGGGGATGAGTGTCAGACCCCTGGCAGCCAACAAAGAGAGAGCAGACGGATCATGTGTGGAGTCTTTCACCACGCCAGGAGTAAACCCTCCTGCTATCATATTCTGTGTTTGGAGAAGAGTTTTTCTGTCTGCTTGTCAACACATTACATGCCGCGTTACTGTTCTGGTATTTACAGCCCAGTTGGTTATCGTTACTATAACTACTACTGTACTGGATTCTGCACAATTGGAGAATACCTTTTTTTATGAGGAGAGCTTACATATCTTAAGTTAAAAATCTGTTTTAATTTTCCTTTTTTATATTTGAGAGCACCTACTTCAGCAAGTCATGATGATGCCAGCAAAAAGGGAAGCTTTTAGCATATCATTTGTACACCATTTATCTTTATCCACTGTAGGGTTTATTTTTATTTACAGCCCCTTTCTTAGAGTCTCACCTTAAGGATAATGTTTTCACACCCCGTCTAAACTGAATATTAAGTATTTACATATCTACAGTGAATGCACTATGCAAAATATACTGTATGTTGAGACAAAGAACAGGCATCACTAAACCATACTTTTTATCCCCTAAGACGGAACCTCTGCAATGCCTCGGACGCTTAAAGGCCCTGACACACCAAACTGACAACAAAGAATACGTCCCGACAGACCCAATTGTTGTGTTGCCTCACATCTCCTGCGTCTTGGCCAAAAAGTCGAACTGGAACACACCGCAAAGACTTCAGCCGACGGCCAAGTAGCATGTACGCATGCGTGAGTGGCAATAACTCTCCTGGGCAGCGGTAGTGTGTATTCGTCATTCAAAAGAGGCAACCGGAAGACAGACTGTGTGATATATACAAACAACAAATAGCGTGTGCGTTCCATTTTCACTCTCGTCCATCACAGACTGTTTCACAGACTGTTTCACATAACGACTTATAATCGAAAACATGTTTAGTGCGGTACTGGAAAATGAAAAATAATAGCCGATTTCCGTTTCGCTTCTCATGCACTGATTCGCTAAGCTGAACAGCCAATCAGAGTGATTTATTTTGCCGATAGCCTCGGCAATCGGGAGCGCAAGGTGTCGGCACGGCCGAAAAGACACGACGGTGCTGGACACACCAATCTGAGTAGGGCGACAGGACGCTCATCGACGGCCAGACACCTGTCGACGGCCGAAATCGGCCTTAAGATCCACCAGTTCCTAAGTCCCTACGGATGGAGTGACTGCTGCACTAATATGTCAGTGTGTTATCTTACCCTTGGTCCTGGGGGGCCGTCTCTGCCAGATGAGCCTGGGCCTCCAGGAACACCCTAAAAAACACAAACAAGCAGGTTTAAATCAGCATCACAACGCTCACCTTTAAACATCTATTGTGAAGCAATTGAAAGTAAATTAATGTTTTTACATTAGTTCAGTTTTTTTTACTTTTGACTTATCTCACCTCACCATTCTAGCCCATTACATTTGTTCTGCTTATGTATAGAAATTAGTTTTTTACTCAATGTTTTATAAAATAGTAAAACATTAAAACACAAACAAATTCAACGAAAGGTCAAAACAGATAAGGTTTGCTTTCTTTATCATTTATGCTTTGACATACGAGGACAGAAATGTGATTTGTTGGATCACCGAGCTTTAGCCTCAGGTCGGACTATATTTCAGCACCCCTCCCCCCCCCGCTGCTCTGTCTCCCGACCCATTCCCCCTTCATCCACCTCTCTGCAGGTCAATGCACACAGCGAGTTCCAAAGTACAGTCATGGATTTAGTGTTGAGGTGATTTATCTCTGCACTTCAGTATTAGTGGTGAGCTCATAAAACAGGACAGTTAGCACAGTTAAAGGTCCCACAAATTACAGGCCCAGGTCGCACAGGACAGGCCTCTCGTGATTAATGATGTGCCGCTGTTTAGATGCCGGCTGATGTTCCTTCTCCCAAGACATCGGCTATAATATCTCTCCTGCTGCTTTCACACACACACACACACACACACACACACACACACACACACACACACACACACACACACACACACACACACACACACACACGAGCTGCTTTGATGAAAAGGATAGAAAGCTTGATTATTATATTAATAATTTAATTGATAAATCCCCCACACTCTTTTTATTTGGCTATAGGCAGAAATTAGGACATTTTTAAGTTGATATTAATGTTCTCTGAAGAATCCATAACCTGTGTTTTAACAGATAATGAATACGTTGTAATTAATATAGATCCAGAAGTAGATTAAGTTTAAATGATTGCCACTCACAATTTCTATTCCTCTCAGACGAAAATGATTACATGAAAACAAACCAACGCACATACACTGATAAACAGAATGAAAAGTGAGCGAGATTAGAAGATGGACAAAAACAAACGCTTTTTGTCATTTATCGCAGCTGCATTTTTCACTGTCAAATTGAAACAGTGGTGGAGAGGACGCTGATGACAAGGTTACATTGTATTTACTGTGGTGAGAAATGGAGAGAGGAGAGGGAGAGAAAGATGAAAAGAGAAGAGGAGAGAGATGATAAAGAACAATCAAGAAAGAAAGAAAAGCAATAGAAGGGAAAAGAAGATAAAAAAGTGAGGAGATGAAAAAAAAGAGAAAAGTAGAGAAAGAAAGACAAAGAAAGAAAAAAGAAACAATGAAACAAAGAACGCAAGGGAAAGAGGGAGAGAGAAACAGCAAAAGGAAAGAGTGAGCAAGAGAGAGAGAGAAGGAAAGAAGAAGCGAGAGAGGTAATTGATGTTTTAGAGTTGTGATATTCTCTGTGGTCCCTCGTATATTACAACAGGGCCCTGGAAGCTACAATATCCCCCCACTGACACACACACACACACACACACACACACACACACACACACACACACACACACTCATATCCCTCTCTCTGACAAAACACATTATTACTCGGTAACATAGTGCGGCACAGGGCAGCACTGCCAGCTTTTATTAATAGGACTATGCAGGCAGAGAGGGAAAGCGAGGGAGCGAGATAGTGCTGCATCAGGAAGTGTTGCAGATCTCCGTGAGAGTCCTGCTATCCGTATGGAAATGGTTATTCCTTTTACAGAAAAACGGCAGAAACCATTTTTTAATTTTTTAAATAGAGGTATTCAAATCATGGCTAAAAGAAAAAAGAAATTACAAATGTGTGTAACACCCTTTTAGACACAACTGTATTTTCTTTCCCTTTTCACACTTTAAGCCTTTTATACAGTTTTTAATTATCGTATCACGGCCATGATGACTAAACAACTTCATGTATGTATGCTACATTCCGGATGCTACAGTTGTGTCTATGTTAAATACAATAGATGAACCAACTGAATGATGGGTAGATTAAACAGGTGAGCTAGAAATTCAGAAACACAATAAATCAGACTTCTAATCAGCGTCTGTATTCTGGTCTCATCAACCCTCAACAAAGGAAACTAATTCAAATACTTTTGTGAGCCAGACTACTAAACAGTAAATACAAAAAGGCTTCAAATCCAGTGAGAACAAACTATAATCACCACGCATGATTGTCAGCATCAGCATAACAACAACTTGTCTTCAGCCTTAAATAAACACCTGTCTTATTGAATCTATCTTAATCAAATGTAGTCTTTTAATTAAGTCCCTGCAGAAACAATCCTTCTGAGTTATTTAATTCATTCATTAGAATCCCTAAACACAGCGACACTTAAACATTAATAAAGCCGCCCTGCAGAGGGGGATCGCCCTCCTAAAATACGACATTGAACTGAAACCATCGCCCATCATAGAGCAGTGAGCTCTGAAAGCAGATCGATGTTTGACATGATCTATGATTGGAAGATGGGAGCAGCCACTGTAACAACTTGTGCTCTGGTCTGGAAAAGAAAATAATATCGTTTCTTTGTGCTGTCTGTGGAGCTGTCTCTCAAAATCGACACTTTTGCACTGTCAGCTCTACATGGAGAGTTTGACTGCAGCTGAATCTGGTTGAAATGATTTTAGAATACGTCCATCCCCTTGTTCTCAAATATTTTGGATCCAATTGCAGATCTGTTGTATTAGTTTTCCCCAGGACGCAGTGGGAAGAAAGCAGAAACAAATGAGTTGTCACATCCTGAGAGGGCATATCTAAAGACTAAACAAAAATACATTTTCACTGCAAGGTTAGGCTCTAACGACTGACATGATCAATGCAATCCAAATGAGCACAATAACATTTTTCTTTCCTAAAAATCGATATGGATGTTCACAAATCACAAACCTTGAGCCCTGAGTCAGACTGGTTAGCACCTCTGCTGCATCCTTCAGAGGATCTGGGCTCGGAGCCATAATGGAGGCCACCATCTGACTGTTCTGACCCACAGGGAACACAGCCATGGACAACAATAACGGATGCACCTTGATACATACTGTGTTCCTGCTCACTTCAAACCTCACTGGAGTTTCTCAAGGGTGCTCTGAAAGGCTCTACACAGCCCCGACACTCATCCTCACAAGTGTTTGCACTTAATAGTTTGTCAACTTGATTGAGACGCTTGTTGCACCTGTTAAGTGAGACAACTTATTAATATAATTCCCAGGACAGCTTTACCCAACTTAAACATTAAAAGAGTTTTAATATAGCAGAATAACTAAGACGTGAAGATGACTGGGAGACAGGCCTCAGCTATTGTTTATAGCAACACAAATATTTTGCAAGCTTTCCTGCAAAAGAAAAGTTTTGTTCTTGTACGGAGTTATGAGAACATTGACTCTGTCCTTGCAGATGTCCAAGGCTCCCTGAAGAACTCCATTCAATTAATTCAGTCTTACCTCTGATTGGTTCACTGCCCAATAATGGAGACGCTGGTAATGATTATTCACATCTCAATGATTCCATTAGACCGCTCTGTGCCGGTGTCAACGTGCATGTGTATGTTAGCAACAAAACCGTCTCAAGCGCGCGCGCGCACACACACACACACACACACACACACACACACACACACACACACACACACACACACACACACACACACACACACACACACACACACACACACACACACCTCTTCATCTTCTACAAAACTGTACAACAAAACCAATCTGCTGTGAGCATTGTTAATACATACATTGTACGGTATGTAATTAAGTTTTGATCAGGATACAATTATACCTTTTTCATGGCTCTTCCCTTTTAATAAAATACAAATAATGAAAAAATCCAATGCATACAATTACGATATGAATACAGCAGTCGCAAAGCAAAATTCTCAACTGGAGTAGCCTATGACTTATTAGCATCGGTTTTACCATCTATATTTAAGGCAGGCCCCTCTGATCTAATATAAGGCATTGAAACAGAGTAAAAATGTTAAACGAGAAATAATGAAAAATGGATTGAAGGTTCAGAAATATGCCTTTATTGGGCAACAAGTCTCATTTCTGTGAACCTGCAGGTGATCATGACTGTGGGACTCATTTATATGCTCCACACTAACACAGAGAGGAGAACAATTTATAATCAATCGCACACACAAACACCCACACAAAGCAAGGTTTGTAATAAAAAAATACTACTTCGCTCTTTTAGTCAAGATAAAAACAGAGGGTGAAATCACTGCATGTCAAGCATGTTGGAAAATAGTTGCCCCTTTGGGTTCTACTTTAGGACGTTGGGAATCGTTTAAACACACCCGACACACATTTCACCTTTTTATCTTACAATAAAATCATTTTTGGGGAAATATTGTCCTACCATTATTCCGGCTGGACCGACCGCTCCATTCTCTCCCTTTCCCCCAGCAGCACCCTATAACACAAACAAAGACATTACATCCCAGTTGGTCACACCAAAGGACTGGAAACAACAACATTAGTTATCTTAATAAGCTTCTGGGCCACCATGAGTCCCCAGAACAGCTTCAGACGAAATACTTCAAGGTCTGAAAGTCGATGTGAGGCATACGTTAACATTTGTCAGTTCTTAGTAGCAGCTGGTTGACAGCTCAAGTGTCTTATTGCACACTTTCTGTGGCCATGTTTCATCATGATTCAATGCAGCAGTGATGTTTGGCAATGCCTTTGACCAGTTTTCCTTTTTTTTCTGCATCTTTTATCTCAAACACGTTCCATCTTAACATTAGAGCCACAGTTTTGGGAGGTGAAGCTAGCTAAATAAGGCTTATATCATTCTAAAACTATGAAGTAACTGTGGATATTTCCAAGATGTGGCGTTGATCTCCCTAAGAAATATAACATTATACTGCACTAGGGCTGTTCGATTATGGCAAAAATCATAATCACGATTATTAAATACGATTATTCATTGACTTTGAAAATATCCATTTATTGAACTTTAAAACAAATACAAATAATAATTTGAACAGCATCTTTTTAACTGTTGATTACCCTGAACGTATAATTCAACTGAAAAACCAATACAAAAATAAATGATACATTTATATTTAAATAAATAATATCAAAATAATAAATACCAATAAACAAGATCAACACATATTTTGGAGCGCACTTCCACAAGCTACTAAAAATATATTAATATGATAAATAAAAATAAATTAGACCAAAATAAATTAAATCAAATATGTTGCAGTGCACTGTCACAACCTAGCAAAGCAAAATAATAGTTTCTTTTATTATGTTGTTTTCGTAATTGTGGCAGGCCAAAATCGTAATTGCGATTAAAATACGATTAATTGCACAGCCCTATACTGCACACAAGCAAACTCTTCTTACCGGGGGGCCCTGGATAGAGAGACCACTGGGTCCCTGAGGGCCGGGTGGTCCTGAAGGTCCAGGAGGTCCAAGCTCTCCCAGTGGCCCTTGAGGTCCCTGTGAAAACAAGACAGTGGATTTCAAAGTTCCATGTTCATTTTAGATTTTTTTCAAATCGACAACTCTTTAGCTCAGCAGCAGCCGTGGCCAAAGTAATCTTCACCCTGGCTTTATTTGTTGACCATACAGTTACTGGCTTCATGTCCCTCTGATCTATGCAAATAATCAAAAGAAAGCTTGTATCAAATATAAATGAATGGAGCAGGGTGTGGAAATAAACACAAGGACCAAAATGTGGGTAATGTTTAACTAAATGATGAAATCACTAAAATATGTCGCTGAAGAGACAAATTGGTTTTCAGATGAAGATTATAGTTAAATGTTTATTGTAATAACTGCACAAGTTATTTTCCCATGTGTCTGTGCTTATACTGTAACAAGCAATTTACCCACATTGATTGGTGTGAATGAAGAAGGATGAGTTAATGGAAGAGCTGGTCTCATACAACAATGTCTGACTATTGATATAAACTTGGCTGTAGCTGCAGAGTTACAAATGCTGCTGAGCTAAGACAAGTGTGATCTGGCAGACAATTATTAACATGTATGTGTATACTGTAATGTGTGTACTGTAGTGTGTGTGTGTGTGTGTGTGTGTGTGTGTGTGTGTGTGTGTGTGTGTGCCAGCAGGACAGAAAGCCACATCATACTCCAAAACTAACATTAGTACACCCATCAAAAATAACACATATGGCCCGTATTAAAAGAAAACTTGGACGAATTTGATCCTGTCTTTGTTTCAGTCTTTGGGATGTGCTTAAGTTCTGGGTGGGCCACTTCATGTTGTTCACTTGACACACTGTCATTCAACTAAGTCCAAGTGTGACATACATGTGGTTGAAATAAACAAGTGTATGGTGTTGATTGACAGCCCTGCGTGTCTGAGCAGTATAATGGAAGATCCCCTGCTGCTTCTTTCAACATAATAAATGATTTAAAACATATTTCATTAAATGTAAGATTAAATTACATACGTGGGAACTGGCTATTGGTGGTGAGCAAAAAATCCAAAAACATTGCACTGACTGTCACAGCTGGATGGTTTGTCAACCCTTGGAACAGACTGCCATAGCAAAACTGTAGCAGATGCAAACACTAAAGTAAGTATCACATTAATAGTCCAAGCAAGGATTAGCAGGAACTGGATAGTAAACGGGGCGAGAGCTTGCCCTAAGTTTAGGGCCAAAACGGAGATGAGGTGGCCTGGGAAAACAACTATTTAGGGTTTTCCAAAATGTTCACTTCATAAAGCCCAAAGGTCCTTCAAATCCAGTCTGGAGGATGGAGTGGGATGCTGTTGAAAAGGCTCTTTGATTGTGAGTCGGGGGCATTGCTTACTCACCACTCATTTCTTTCCTTCTATCATTTAATCAGGATGGGGGCGGGTCTGTCCCTGGAGTTAGAGGTGTGGCTCAGCGTGTGTTTAGGTTATGAGTCAAATGTATAAGAAACAATAAGACAAGTTGTGTAGGCTCCCATTTATTTTCATCATGGAATGGGGCGAAGTCTTTTTTGGATCTGGATAAACTTTAAACAGGAAATCATGTGGCTCTCCGGTTGCAGCCAGTCCATTTTTGATTGGCTGTTTGTTCTTCAGCATATTAAAGACACTTATGAAGTGCTCAATGTTTTGTAGAACAATGAATGGTCTCTATAATTACTGACTACCAGATTAAATAGCCCATACAAAAAAGAAAGTAATAAATCAGGATATTGACATTTTTGCATTTTAACATAGATTTACATACATTTGAAAACGCAAGGAGGATATGACCCCATTGTTAGTGTTAGTGTTAAGTGCTTTTACTAACCGTCACTCCTGACTCTCCTCGGTCTCCTCTGGCTCCCCTTATGCCTGGACCGCCCTGAAACACACAGCATACACACACTGTTAAAACAGCACATGGTCAGTGTGTACAAGTTGTGCGCCTAGAAACTAAGACATGGCATAGAAACACTGCACTGAAAAAAGATCTCTTGCTGAATTATATAAAAACAATAGAACCCTGCAGGTCTTTGATATGAATGGTTCTTCAATTTGATTCGATAGAGGCCAACGGTGATGTGTGCTGTAAGCCCCTCTGAGATCTACACTTCATCATGCTGCATCTGCATCCGTAAACCTCGGTTGACCCCTCTCGCCACAAGGTTCACCCAGGGACCAACTACGCACATCTGCTGATCATTGGACCATTTGAGATACATCCCTTTCCTGTGTTTGCTTAAACAGGGCTCCCCTGGGACCAAGGTGGTGACTAGGTAGTTCCTACAGTATTAAGTCACATGGGACAGGAGGGATGTTTACAAGAAGGGCGAGCAATTAGAGAGGAGATGTGGTAACGTGTAAATGGAATCATCATATGTTTGTTTTACCAATTTCTATACCCGATATATCATCCTATTAGTTGATAACAATGGCATTTCCTTGTTTTTTTTTCTTATATAGAAAGTTAAATCCCAACAAACAGTTGACCAAAGTCTGAAGTCTGACAGTTTGCTTATCCCTTATCCCCTGTCAACATCCATCGGTGGATTGGCACTGTATAGCTATTGTATTTTGACAGGGAGGTAAGATTGCAGTGACCAATAACTCTATGGCATGCAAATTAATCATTTAAAAAGGTTTGAACTTGTAAGGCAAATGCTTCCCTTTAAATTCTTCTTTTGGCAGCAAAGACACAAAATAAACTCGAAGCAAGAAATGGACCTACAAATGTAACATGTGTGCAAATGTAGATTCGTGTTATCAAGAAGTGTTATTCAAAATGATTATTTGTTTTTGTCACTGTGGCGACAAAGGCTTTAATGGATTGTTCCAAACAATGTAGAGCCTGTGACTTTCAGAGGTCGGGCAAACCTGCAGAGAAACTGAAATTACCTTTCAACAGCAGCAAAACAAAAAAAATTGTGTTTGGATTTGTTATCAGCCTTTAATGGTAATAGAAAAAAGGTACACTGCTATTATAATTTAACTAAGCAATTTGATGACAAAGGCAAATTTACATGTTTTAAACAAAAGCATGGCCATAATTCAATCTTAACAACCGGAGATAGCAGGCGGTCGTGTTTTCCTTAATGTCAGGTTGATTGCTGAGTGATGTTCAGTATTGAGCTGAGTCTCTGTGCCGCCAAATCAGGCGGCACAGATTGCATTTCAATTGAAGCAATCAATATTATTTCAAACATGACTCAAAGATTTATCAAACTGAAGAGACCGGCTGCTGTGTGAGCCACAGAAACATGCATCCGACAGTTAACACGAGCACATCAATTACTCGTAGGAAGGAAAAAACGATATTTCGTATGCTGATACTAGAGTCTAGTCTATCTGATTTCAGCTGTACCCGTGATTCAAATGGCCTTAATACAGTTTTGTCTATGTAGACCCTATAAACAAGAGAATATTTAAAGAGGACATATTATGCAAATGTTCAGGTTAATATATGTATTTTGGGCTTCTACTATTACATGTTTACATGCTTTAATGTTCAATATTATATAATAATATATATTTTTCTCATACTGCCTGTGCTGAAGCACCTCTTTTCACCCTCTGTCTGAAACCAGAGCCCAGTCTGCTCTGATTGGTTGGCTGGCCGGTTCTGTTGTGGTTGGTTTACTGCTTAGAGAAATGGCAGCAAAGTCCCGCCCCTAAACAAATAATTTTAAACGTGTTGGAGCGTTAGCCAATAGAAGCCCACTCGTTACATAATGATATCATCATATGAAAGTAAACAAAGCAATCAAATTGCGGCATTTCAGGCAGGAGGAGGGNATTTTAGATTGTACTTTTCCATACATACTACAAAGAGTAACACCAAGCTAGCCCTCTACCCTATTCTACCCAAAGATGACTTATGATTGGCATTAGCCGTTAGCTTGGTGTTACTCTTTGTAGTATGTATGGAAAAGTACAATCTAAAATACCGATAAAGGTTTGGGTGGAAGAGGGAAGAGGGAGAGGAGACGTGTGATACTTACTGGTACCAGGAGTGCTTCTGTATTGCTTCTAGCTGTAGAAACACAAATAAAAGATAATATTACAGCAGGGATCAAAACATCTGATCCCATGTCTCATCTCCGAACACTTTGTCCTGAACACTAGTGTCAGTGAAGGGGAGCCAGGGCAGGAGGCTTAACATTTTGATGTGAACAGTTTGTGTTGTTCTCCTGTTTTCACTTTTAGAACTATCATTTCAGAGCCCCACTCTCCATTGTTGTTAAAGGTCACCTATCGTGGGCGATAGCATAGGTCTCAGATATATAAAGATATATAAGAAACATGTCTATGAAGTGTTTTGCTCAGAATACCAAACAGATCCCCCATTCTAGCCATGCCTCATATCCAGGGCAGGAATTTCCACGAGGGCCACGAGGGCCATGTGCCCTCCCACTTTGGCCTTGTGCCCTTAAAAATGATATCTGCCATAAGGCCACAGTGGCCTTGATGCCCTCTCTGACTAAGTTTTGTGGTTTAGCAGTCTGCCTCTTTTCTGACACGGCTTCAACACCAGCATATTTTGAAGGAGGAAAAAAAAATCAGCGGTGCGCTTGATTTGAGCCTGGAATGCACCGCTCGGACGGTCTATGATGACAGTTGACATCAGTCTAGGACAGGGGTGGGGAACCTCCGGCCTCCGGGCCGTATACGGCCCGCGAGACCATTTGGTACGGCCCTCGAGGTAATTTATAAACACATGCAAAAAAGAAAAAAATTCAAGAAATCTAGACCGCAAAATAATTAAACAAGCTTGTTTTTCCTGGCCAAGGTCAGGGTCCTTGAACACAACACGAGCCTAACGTGTCATCACGTGGTATATGTCTCGTCTGACAGGAGTGTAGTTCTAACAGAGAGCACCAGAACCCGGCTCCGGGCCGGGACTTCACAAATTGCAATACCCATAAGGAGCTGTACACATGCCGCAGTTTTTGCGTGGCTGTGTCTTTAGTTGAAAGCCCAGTTGCGATCTGTTCATCTGTCAAACTGATCATACAGTCAATAACGTTGTTGTTATTAGCTTCTGGTTAGCTAGCTATGCTAACGAATATAAGAAGCTTTTTCTCCAACCAGTGAGGTAAAGGCACATCTTTATATGATCATTATAGTTATAGAAAAATAAGAGAATAAAGTAAACAGGTATACAATACTAATATGACAGTAAAAAAAAGTTGTTATTAATAAACAAGAATACAGTTTAAAAGGGAAGTGATTTGTAAAATATCCATAAAGAAAAAAATCTGCTTACAGTTCTGTTTCATATGGGTGTTGAGAGATGTATCCATAGATCTCTTCATGTTGCTCTCAAAGTGCACCAGATTGATGTCTTTTAACTTCAACATTTAAAAAAAATCTTCATGGTGGTGCATGCCCCCAAACCCCCCTAGATGAGGTTAGATCCGCCCCCCCCGCCCCACTTAAATCATGTCCACATGGATATGAAACTAAATACATTTGCACACATCTTGTGTCCATATCTTTCTGTTTTGGTGGTCATGCCCAATGCATGAATGCGCGGGTCATGGTCAAATATCTGGATTAAGAGGTTGCTTTTTCTTTGCACAGCATGAAAGAAATGCGAAATGAATGGGCTGTGATTTGAGTTTTTTAAGCAGACGTTGAGTTCAATAATTTGTACGGCCCTCGAAGGATGTTGTCAAAATTGAAATGGCCCTTGAGAGGAAAAAGGTTCCCCACCCCTGGTCTAGGACCTATCTCCGCCCACCCCCTCACGCGTCCGTGTGCGTAGGACGGTCTAGGACCTAGCTAGCTGATTCTCCGCTCAAGAAAAGGCTGAGGTGAGGTAAGGTTTTGTGATGATCCTGTTTGCCGTTAAGTTTTTCATTTGTCCAGCTTTAAGTGTAATTTTATGGATAACATTACTATTTCTTGCTCGTATGGTAATGCATAATTATAATATTTTGAAGTGTTTTTGTTACTACTTGGATAAGTTATGTTGCAGTTGTGTTCTTTTTTTATTATTATCTAGTGCTAGGCAGTTAGCGCTGTGTTGTTAGCTGTCAAAGACCTCTGTGCAGACTTATTTGACCACCGGCGATCGCAGACGGAAGTTCAAAGTTTGCTGCTCGTTTATATCGCCCAATTTTCAAAACGCGATCAAAAGTCCAAATCTCCCTGACTCGTCATCATCTCCATCTTCAAGTGACTCAGAATAAGGACGCACCTTGACGTAGGCCCACTACCACAGTCTCACAGTGAGACAAACATGTCTGTGCTATAAGAATCCTTTGTAGTTTTAATAAAGAATTTGTTTAATTGCAATTTGGTGTCCATTGAATGCTTAATAAATATATATAAAAGTATTGTGAATGCATATACAATCGTAGTCACTTCATATCGTATGTTAAATCATTGATTTAATGTATGGCCTTGGTGCCCTGGCTTTTGGCCTTTGTGCCCTTAAAAAATTGACAACTCAAAAGGCCAAGTGGCCTTGCCCCTAAAATGACGAAATTCCAGGCCTGAGTCTTACTGTCGGTTTAGTCTGGAGACTCGCAGGAAATCCCTCATACAAAAACAAAAGTTCAACATACAATTATAAAAGTCCAGCTGATATTTAATATCGTTGTAATCTGCGTTTCTCAGGGTCTGCCGGGTAATGGTGGACCGCAGGGACGACAAGGACCTCCTGGACCTGGCGTAAGTCATTGTTTTTTATCCCTCAGCATACTTTTGATTGCCAGATCACTGTGATGATTGATGCTTCTGCTTCCTCTCACCTTCTTTCTCTCTCTCCATCCTTCTCTCTCAGGGGTCCCCTGGAGGACCAGGAGCCCCGGGACCTGGTGGGTCATCAGGGCTCCAGGGAGATCAAGGAGTTCCTGTGAGTGAAAACACTTGTTTCAATGTTCTTAAGGTGGATGTGAACAAAATAGAGTATTAAGAATGAACTGAAGATGTGGAGACTCTCCATTACTTCCTCCTCTTTCTGATTTCTTCCATTATGTCTAACTTAATCTCCAAAAAAACGTCAATCGCAGAGTTTTATCACAAAGTTACAGATTTAAATAAATATAAACAATATTGGGGTTTTATTCCAAAGCTGACAAGCGTTGCAGCTTTTTTTCATCCTGTTTGACTTTCTGCTCTTCCTTCTCCTGACTGGAAACACCTGTTAGTACAACGCAGTCAAGTGGGTGTTCCTCACAAGTCTGTTCTTATATTCTTATGTAATATTTCATCTTGCAAAAAAGAAAATGTGGTGGTTCAACTTTGATTCCAATCGTGATGTAAGTCAGTTTGTTATGCCTTGTAAAAGAATGAAAAAGTTGTGCGAGTTATACAACACAAGCACGGAGAAGAAGATGTTGGGATCCAAACTTTGTGTAATGCTAACAGGAACAGATGATACTGTGATGTTGGTGACAGCTCATCTAGT